CCCAAATTACATAAAAACATACAGCACTACATATATATGAATCTGATCAGTCTTGCCACTAAGAACTGTTTATTATAATTAACTTCTTAAACATAATAAAGAATAGGTTAACCTATAAAGTCCATGAATATACAAATACATATGCAACTTTAACAACAAAAAATAGACTTACAGAGAAAAAGTATACATATGGTAGTTATAGAATTTTTTAGAACCCTATTTTTTTCTGCAAAGATGTCATAAAAATATTATTCTCCTTTACTGATAATAATGTCCAATGATCCTGTTTTCTGACTTTTCAATTGCAACACAGTTTATTAATACAGTAGGTAATTAAGATGAGATGGAGTTAAAATGTCTGCCCAGCCCAATCACCTTCGCAACTCCCAACCCACTGTGGCTGGTGAAGTCACCTTCTAAGACCACATCTCCGAAGCCCAGGTCCTGCATTCTTTTACTGCCAATTAAGATGAGCCCCAGGTGCCCATGTTATCACCGGATTATAGTATTCTGATTCCCTTCTTTTCCCTTGCTCTCAACCACATCAATAGAACAAAAAATCCTTTATCTTCATGCAAAGCTACATTAGTTAACAGCAAAGACCTGGCCATCTGCTTTAGCTGTTTCTCTTTACCTTTGCCAGGTCTCACTGCATTATAGATAAGACTTACGGCTGTACAGGAAAGGGGCACAGTCATGGAAAACAGAAAAAGGGAAATACACAGGCACACAGAGACATAAAATATGGACAGAGAAACATAGAACCAGAGACATATCTTAATTAAAAAATTGTATGTGTAGACACACATACACACACACAATGTGGATGTACTGATTAATTGTTTTCCTATATAAAACACTGGCTAGACTATGTGGAGATTAGTCAACTAATGTAAATATTATTCAGAATTTATTCTTCATTTCTAATTTTATCTAATTAATTCTTAGTTTCTAATTTTATCCACATAGAAATCATGCAAACAATGTATCACTGGTAATTATACTAGCAGTTATACATGACTACCACTGTCATTATAGCTGCGTCACTGACAGCTACACAGCATGATATACTATTACACGCTGGCAATATTACATACTAAACCTTCACACATGTCTGTTTGATGAAAATTTTGTATTGATATTAGTATTAAATTTCTGGCAAAGTTTAAATACTGAGGTTAAGGCAGAAAAATATTTCTTTCAATTCTTAGGGTAAGAATCAGGATGGGTATGCATTTTTCTTATCTAATGCTCAGAGGTTTATCTCTGTTTTAAGATAAGTAGGTATAGGAAAATTAAATATGAAGATTTACCAAATACCAAGCTCTGTGTTAGAAGCTATATATATATATTTATTCTATCCATTTCTTAAAATCACTCTGGATGGAACAAATAATCATTCTTCCGCATGACAAGTAGGCTTAGAAGGGTTTAAGTTACCATAAGTTCATTGAGGGAAGAATTAAGAACTTTTATTCACTCACATACCTTTAGCAGTTAGCACAGTTTCGTGGCTCACAGTTGGTGAAAAATAATGTTTGGTAACCAGTTAATTGAGTTAACAGGGTTACAAAGCTAGTGACACAGCTAGATTGCTATCTTACGTCTGGGCTTAGACTTGAAAGCCCTTCTGTCTGTGCCCAGAACATGGAAAAGGCAGGTGTTGTGTGTTCCTGCCTCACTTGCTCTCAAATGACCAGAAGGGTTGAGATGGGATGAGCTGTAGGAAAGCACAGCTTTGAAAAAAACAGATAACCTGCTGGTAGTAGGCCGAGAGCTCAAGCAGCCAGGTCATTCATTCGAAATCCCCTCTGGGTCTCTTAGTAGCTGGGCAACTTCAGTCAAGTGCTTTATCACTCAGTACCTCAGTGTTCTTATGGCAAAAAGTTAATCATAATGGTAATAATAAAAAATAATATTAAGCCCATGAGAATGTTGTGAGAATTAATTGTACCAATACATCTAAAGGTTTTGGCTATAGAATCAGTAGTCATCACTACTATTTGCTGTGGAGAAAGGACAGCAATGCTGGTCACACCCTGAAAACTTAATTCTCTCTGGTGAGGAGGGAAATGCATCTGGGCAGAGCAACAGTAGGCACAGAGATGCAAGTGGGGGCTGTTTTGGAAACAAGAATACTTCTATAACTGCGACTTCTATTTTACCCCAGCTATCTAAGATTTCAAATTGTGCAGTATTCTTTTAAGCCAGAATGGGAACTCTAAAAATGTCCATCCTATTTAATTTCAGCACTGATCAAGGGTACATATTTCTGTTTTCCTGAGCAAGCTGGGTTCCAAAAGGCTGTTCACATGAAGCCCTTTATTTACAAGTCGGAAGTAGTATCACAGGGAAAAACCTTCTTATGGAAGGAAGAAAAAAGTGACTTGCCTTTTCTATGGTGCCATGTTTTAAAATACCTATGTCAAAGTAATAAGTGTATAAGTAGAAAGCTTTTATATTGCTTAGTCTAATATGGTTCAAAATCAAGATAATATGAAATAGTTCACTTAAAATAAAAAGGAATACTTTAGGTTTTATCCCAAAATATTTTGTACACCAGGTCAACTTTCTATATGCCTTATTAAGAGTTTAAAACACTTAGTATTACTTGGAAAGTTTGTGTGTGTGTTTTTGATAGCAGTCCCAACCCAAGACCCATGGTCTCTGACTCAGTCATGTTTGGAACTCACTGAAATACACCACAGGTGTCAAGTTTTTGGAAATCAGAAATTTCACCTCTGAAAAGAGAGTCCATCTTTAATCTCTGCTTCTGCTATTTTTAACCTACCTTCCTCTAGCAAATGTAATTTTGGAATATCTTTTTAAACATGAATTGTATCCTTATATATAGCAGGATATTTTTTCTAAATACCAACATCAAATGAAACAGCTCTCATGGTCACCTAATCCTGGTTGTTAAAATGAAAATAAACTGGAGGGGCACATAGAATGATGAAGGAAATTAACATGTCTAACCACTTGGTATTGTCATGAACTGTGCTAGATTCTTTATGTATGCTATTTATTTAATCTTCAAAATAGCCTTATGAGTGAGGCATTTTAACATCAAAAACCCTAATTAGAATCATCTTTAGATATACAGATAATTCAAAAAGCACTTGTTTAAAGTGACACAATTATTTTATTGTCCCCTATCACAAAATATTATATGTCCCCATCTGTGAATGTGTAAGTGCTAGATCAATGTATGAATTAAGCAAGTGTTTTGAAATTTTTGAAAAGTTTACATTGTTTAAAACTAGATGATGTCGTTTTACTTTCATTTGTTTAAAAAAGCACTCCCTTATAGTGATGTTAGAAATAAATATGTTAAAAAAGGAGAACTTTAGAGGAAAATTCCAAAAGAGACAGAAGTTATTTTATCCAGGTTTCATAATGGCAGCAGAATGTAATTCACGTTGAAATTCAGGAATATGGGTGCAATTCAGAATTGCATCACTGATGAATTACAATAGATTTCTGTAGTCAGTTAAAGCAAAAGTGAGCTGAAGATGCTTAAAATTCCTTTCAGCTGCTTGCTGCACTGTCATATTTTAAGACCTCCAAAGCAGTGGCAAAGACAGCTGTGTCCCTTTTTCTTTGGTATATTATCATTAACATGTAAGATAGTGAATATATTATAACATTTTCATCAATGTAAAAGCAAGGATAATTAGGAAACTTCAAACTGTGAAAAAGAAATATACACATAGGCATTAATTTGTAGTTTTTAGGGAGATTCAGTGAATATTATATAACGTACAAAATTTGTCTTGCTTATTGAATAATTATTTTTTATACAATTTGCAAAGGTACATCATTTCTTGGTGATCATATTTATGTTATAAATACCAAAAGGTCTAAATGGACAAAGCATATAGACTTCTATGAGTATATTAGCATGATCATAGTATTTTGAAAGCTGAATTTTTTTTCTTTTTTGCATTGAAAGGTATATGACAAAAATCATTTTCCTTTAACGAGAATAAAACATGCAATAATTCTTTAAAAACAAAACAAAACAGAAAACCTTTGGTAATACATGCATTCCAACAGGTACTTTTAGAAACCAACGTCCTATTTATTGCAGCTTATGGAACATATCATGGCTCATTATTTCAACTTTCATGACTATAGGTAGGCAAAAGCTGCAAAATGGTACAACAAAGATTTAGAAGAAAGGGCCTAGTGAAAAAATGAGACAAAATTCAGCATCACACAAAAATCCAATTAAAGGTCTTACCACGAACTATGGGTGCTAAGAGCATCATGAAGAGCAGGAGCTGTGGCGGCAGCATGGTCGTGTCCTCCAGCGAGAGCGCCTCAGCAGCGAGCGTTACGAATGTGAACCGAAATAAGTGTCTTTCTGGTTCCTCTTCTGTATTTCAAAACCGATGATTAAAAAAATAATAAAAAGCTCAAAAAGAAATATTCCTCAAAAACAGAAACACCAATATCCCAAATCTGAATCCTGCAAACAAACAAACAAAAAGGGTTATCAAATACAGGGGTTTTATCTTAATTCCTTGAAAGTTTATTTCCTGCCTAGTACATCTGTATACTTTCGCCCTTCTTCATTTTAGTGATTACAGATATCATATATAGAACTGAGTAAGCAACTTAGAGGACATTATTTATGTATGTATTATTACAATGTTTGCTTCCCATTCCAAATTAACTGAAATAAAAAATTCAATCTCATTGAACAAATATAAATATGCTATATTAATTTATACAATAATTCCTTAATAATTAATTTGTATAACTTGCTTATTTGTATAAATAGATTAGGGCTTACTTTGTATTAACATTTTCTATAAAGAAAACTCTAATGCAGGAAATGGTAAGAAATTATTAGAATGGTAAAGAAAAATTCATTCATTACCATTACTATGAGTTTTAAAAAAAAAGTTGTCTTTCTTTCCAGACTCTGACACTCATCATTTTACATATTAACTACATTGGTTTTCTAAGAATCGTTGTAAGTAAATCTGTGATGATCCTAGAATTATGTTAATTAATTACGCCTAGACAACTAATTCATCCAAAAGAGGTTCACTGAGTGGACTGAAATACAAAGCACTGGGCTAGGAACACAGGATAGAATATTAGAATGCTGAATAAAACAAACAGTCAGGATCTTACAACCTAAGATGAGCAATCTTGCTTAAAAGTGTTAAATACATATGGAAGAGATGAAAAACTTAAAGCATTAAAAAACTTCTTTTACTGAGCCAACTGATAAACTGCCTCCTCTTAGTCTTACACACATTTATCCTAATAAGCAAAAATACTGAAGCAACATGACCCAAACTTTGAAGACGTCTTCCAGAGTCAGCTCCTTTAAAACTGTAAAACTGATCAATCAAGTAAAAACTGGGTGTCCCTTCTGTTCTCAGTGTCTCTCTCTCTCTCCTTCTATTCTGGCAATATATATATATATAGTTAAAGTAATTTCATATCTTGAGTAAAAAATTTCTGAAAAGGGATAGCCAAAGTAGAGATAGCTTACTGAAGATTGTATTAATAAGTTTCATTCTGACAAAATAAATTCAAAAATATTTCTGAAATACTTGCCTTAGTTATAAGGCAAGTTTTCTGGCCCTGTCATTTATAGCATGGTAATTAAGAACAGATTCTGGAGCAAGACCAACCAGTTCAATTATTAGCTTTACTAGTGCTATGACCTTGGGCAAATCATGTAAGCCATCAGTGCCTAGGTTTCCCACCTGTTAACAGAAGGGAGTGATATTATTTATTCATATATGAACATAAAATGAGCTAAATTTTGTAGTATTTAACATATAAAATGCATAAAAATATGTGCAGCCCCAGTGTCTAGCATGCGGTAAGTGCTATATGCCTCAAAAATTATTATACATCTCATTAGTTTTCAACATTGTCCTACTCAACCTTTTAACATGGATGTGTAAGAAACGAAATCATTTGATAATTTTAATTCAAAAATATTTATTAAGTGACTATTTTGTTGACAGGCCCCATAAACACTAAATCTGGACATGACAGACACAAAAATCTTCTTTTTAATCCCATACATATTATAAAAAAATGAAGTTAATAAAGAGACACTCTCGTAATATTTTGCTGTTACAAAAGTGAAAGCACTGACAAGAAAAAAAGTTTAGATAAACAAAAACTACATGGAAAGGAACCATTTGCAACATTTTCATTTCTTTTTCTCTTATTCACGTTCTAACTAACAAGAAAGCATTCAGACCTTATTCTTAATTGACATAGATGTATATAATTCTTCCCAAAAATAACTTTGGAAAGAAAATGCTCTTTTCAAATGCTAATCTGAAGTTATTTATTTAACTTGCACATACTAATTAATGGATACTTAGAGAAGGATACTTAAAAATTGATACATCAACAAATAAATAACATCCCCCACTTAATATTCACTTAATGTGGTTTTCCCCTTCTATGACCATTAAGTACATAATATACATCACAGAGACATACAAAAACACATACATAAATACACATAAGATAAACATATATAGAAGTTTTTGCCACTGGAAAGGACTATGGGCAGCCATGTTATGAATTATTTATTCATTAGTTCAAAAACATATATGTACTTAATATCTATCAGGGTTGATATATTGAGAATGCAAATGAAGAACAATTTTTCTCACAACTCACATTGTAGTGGGAAAACTGAAGACTGCAAACAAAGTCAAAGACAAAGAATTAACTGTTTTTATTATGAACCTATCACATGACAAGCAATGTTCTAACTATTGTGTAATCATCTGATTCAACTTTCTGTATTAATTTATGAAGCAGATAATATTGTCTCATGTTTACTGAGGAGGACATGCAGACATGTTTTGCAGCAAGAATTTCGAACCAAATGTCTGAATCATTGCTCTTTCCTCTCTCTATTATAGAAATAATCAAGGAAATGTCTGAGAATAATTAGGGCAATTAATTGTGCAAAGGATGGGGGACAATGCAGCAAGTTTCCAAGGAGGATTTAGGCTTGCTTAAATACGCTGTTCGACTATGAAGATTGGAGAACACAGAACAGCACAGATACATGAGGTAGGGGAGGAAGGAGAAAGAGAAAAGAAAAGAAAGCCTTGTTTAAGAAGGAAGAAATAAGCCTAACTATAGTAATGTATTGTTTGGAGGCTCAGGGACATTTATTTCGATAGTGAAATATAAGTATTGCTATAGTGAAATATGGCTTCAGCGAAAAGAAAATAGTTTATTTCCTATGATATTTTCACATTGACAAAGCAATGGGAGAAAGCTACTTTATAGAAGTATAAGAAAGTATATACCCATTATTTATAACAATGGTTTAAGATATCTCAGCAGGACATAAAGCCGCATCTACTAAGATATTTTTCATTTGATTTGGGTATAGAAGTTTGTTTTCATGATTACTGAGTAAACAGAGGTGGGGAAAGGAATTTAGAAGAGTAGAAACTATTATTTGAGGAGGAAAACATGTTCTCATACCCCAGCCTTACCACTTGCTTACCTCTTGCTAACAGCCCCAGAATAATGTGCTACTGTTGGGGGGAACATATAATAAAAATGCAATAATTAAACTATGTAAGTTTTAATAGATAATTTGAAAGACAAGGTTACTCATAACCTATAGAATGGTAAACCACCATTCTTTGAGTAATAACATTGCAACAAAAAACAGAAAACTTTCTGGGGTGACTTTTTTTCCTATTTATGTATCATCATTGGCTTTAAAAACCAAGCCAGTTATCATATAAAGGGGATTTTCACTTAAGTCATTTCTGAAGCATAGCTCTTCAAAAACACAGAGAGAAGAAAAACCAAGGACAGGCATTAGGGATTCATTAAGCCACATATGAAAAGATGACTACTCTTAAAAAAAAGATTTACTAATGATATAGAACATTTAACAACTTAATTTCAAAATATACTACCATCTCAAATAAAATTCCCTTAACTTTCCCTATGTACAAAGCTCCATGCTCACACTATGGGTCAAGTGGGGAAAGTGTGGCTACAAGTCTAAAATGTATCACCTTTTAAAACACTTACCATAAAATAATGAATGCTAACAGGTGTTCTCACCAATACCACAGTGCTGTGCTAAATGCAGGGTGTTATGTGAGATGTTCTAGGAACACAAGTTAAAAATTGTCAGATATTTGTGTGTGTGTGTGTGTGTGTGTGTGTGTGTGTGTGTGTGTGTGTGTAACATCAATGGATTTAAAATCATGCTGAACTAATATTCCGGTACTGGCTGAGTTTGCGTACCTCTCTGATTCGCAGTTTCTTCAACTATAAAAGAGAGAACAATATTCACCTTGCAGGTTGGCTGTGAGGATTAGAGATAATGTAAATTACTTTGTGATACAGAGTTTGTCACAAGACTGTATATGTCTGCCATTCACCAGCTTCCTCTGTTTCCTTTATTCCTCCAAACTGAGGGACGGACCATATGCCTGACAATACTGCTACCCCACCCACTCTGCCACCACTTACATATTTAGGAAACTAATATCAGAGGTATATAGATATGCACACTCTCCTCGAGAATTCTACAGCTGAGCAATGCATACTAAAATAATGTGAGATTTCATACAGGAGGATTTTCAGTATGTTTCTCTTGTTTAAAATATACTTCATTACTTATGCTACTGATATGCATTGCATTAGTAAATCAACACATTAATTCTTTAAAAATTATTCTCCAAAGATGATATATCTAACTTTCATCAAAGAGTTTCACAATATGGCAAACAATTCTGACTCTACATTATCCAGAGCTTGGAGGTAATATATTCCTACTTCAGTCCTTTCTCAGGCACTTGGAGGCCTCACACACAACTACCTAACTTCACTATATTCAAAATTAAAAAGTGAGTTTGATTAAAGTGTCCTAATTTACATCATTAGTATTTAAGGTCATAATTATGAATCTGTGTGATTTGATTTCACTAAAAGTTGATAAAGAATTACAACATGGGAAGATATTCTGCAAATGTCTTATGTAATGGAAGTTTTCTACATTAACTACATGGAAAGTCCCTTATTTGTTAGGTTTAGACTAAATTTCAACCATCTCTAGCACAATTATACTCTGAAGATATTGCAATTTTTGTTGTTGTTGTTGTTATTGCTGAAACAGATGTTGTCCTAAACCTAAGACATTGATATTTACTTTTAGGAAAAGCTCTCCTTAAATTCTGGTGTCATAATTTATTTTTCCTGTTCAATTTGTCCATACATCTCTCTTAAATCATGCTTGAAAGCTTCTGATTTATACTTGCATCCTCTACACTGTAAATAAAGATGAATGTTGGAATTAATATCTGAATGCCACTCATTTTGGATGTGACAGTTTCATGTTAGCTATTCTTAATCACATTTCTGTAGGATAACTTTCAATCTTTTCCAAGGTAAACTGCATGTTATTGATTTATATTTCTCCTCATAATAACCTAGACA